TTAGGGGAAGACTTTCTCTAACTTGCATAATATTATAACAATATTTTTCTCTAACAACTTTAATTGATCTTTTATCAAGGTAATGGAACAAATTTGTTTAAAGAATTGACTAAGCTCCACTATAGGATTCCATAAACTACAAGCAAAGCAACAAAGACAATAGGAAGCAAACACTCTATGAACACATGACAATCTTGACTCTTTGTTCCATACAACTTTGCTTCTTTCATGTCAATATATCGAGCTAGATTAGATGCATATCCATTAGGGAGCTTTAACTTCTTAACCTATTAATAAATTTCTCATTTTTGTTCTAAATTCAAAGTATATCGTGCTTTGGGTTTCATCATTTTTCCTCTTCTTTCAACAAGTTCATCTTCCTTTCATTGACAATATTCTTTCAAGTCCATTTGAGATTGTATATTATCTTTTGTTTTCCCCTTCATGTCTATGACTGTGTGGAACACATTGTCAAAAAAAAAATTTCTCAATGTGCATGACATCAAGATTATGATTTGTTTTGTCCAATGATGAATGCACTTATAGCCTTCAATTGGTACAATTTTTCCATACTTCAATGACTTTTGGCAAATTACGTACACTTTGCCAAACTTCCTTTCTAGTTAATCGAGGTGGAGGCATTGATTTCTCAACTCTATTCTTGTAAAATGAGCTTCTATTTCTCCTAAATTAGTGATCATCGGGAAGAAATTGATGATGACAGTTAAAGAAAGAGGTTTTTCTCTCATGCTTCAATTGGAATACTTTTGAATTCTCCATACATATAGGACATGATAATCTCCCCATCGTCATTTAACCAGATAGCATGCCATATGCAAGAGAGTCATTGATTATCCATAGTAGTACAGCACACATATGAAAATTTTGTCTCAATGAGGCATCATATGTTGACACACCCTCATGCCACAATAATTTTAATTCGTCTATGAATGGTTGTAAATACACATTTATTTTCCCTTTGGGATTATTAGGACCATGGATGACCAACATCAAAAACATATATTCTCGTGTCATGCATGCCTCTAATGGTAAATTATATAGAGTAAGGGTCATAAGCCAATAAGAATATTGTCTCCTAGATTACCCAAATAGTGTAAATCCATCAGTACATAACCCAAGCCTCACATTTTGTAGACCATAGGCAAAGTTAGGATATGCATTATCAAACACTTTCCATGCTTGACCATTGAAGGGGTGAGAAAGGACATCAGAACCTTGACGATTCTCATAGTGCCACCTCATAAGCTTTGCAGTTTTTTTTCAAAAACAAACAATCTTTGTAATCATGGAATTAGAGGTGAGAACCACAATTGCTTCCTTGCAACTTTTTGTTTTCTTCCATGTCATTTCTTAGAGGAACAATATTATTTAAATATGTTGATAATATATATTGTCATGTACACACACGTTAACACATAAATATATAATTTAATATTTATTATTAGTTAATAAAAATATTATTTAATACCAAATAATATATGTTATGAAAATAAATATTTCTATATATTGTTCTATATTATATATTTTATAATTAAAATATTTTCATATGGTAAAATTTTTATTTTATATTTAAATTTACATAATAAAAGGAAACATATTTTTTATTTTTTATATCATTTTATATTATATATTTTACTTATAATAAGAGAAAAATTACTTGTGTAATTTTTTAATTTGATGATTTTGAAGATTTTTTTATGTGAATCTCTCTATGTATATTATAAATTATTTATTTTTTTAAAAAATTTGAGCTCCTTTTATTAATTTTTTAATTAAAAATATTGGTCACTATTATAAAAAATTTAGTGACGGAAATTAGTGATAGATTGAAATCAATAACTAAAATTTATAAAATTTGATCAAAACGAGATGACATCCTGTATCCGTTACTAATTTATGTAATTAGTGACATATTTTAGTCTGTCATAAAGTTTCGTCACTAGTGCTTATAATTAGTGATGAATTAAAGACCTATCATTAAATGTCCATCACAAATTTTAATTTTTCTTGTTAGGGAAGGAAAATTAGATAAGGTTTTTAATTTGGGGAAATTAACCTTTATGAATATCACAAATTTAACCTTCCATCAATTCAATATAGTTTTCTCTACTGCCACTAAAATCAATTCAATATTCTCCCTCTAATCTAAAATACTATGGATGAAATGAGAAAACTTTTTTTGCAAATATTAAGTTACTTATATTTTGAACCAATATTAGCTAGGAAGAAATGTTTATATTTTGAACCGAAGAATGTATATTGGAATGTTTCATGATTAAAACATAGTTTAAACCAATGACAACTGAATCAATGATAATATAACCTTGAAATATCCAACATATGTCAAGAAGTTTTATGCACTTGAGAAAGTAATAGAGAATTGACAACATTATCTTTTGGCCTAAATTAATCTATAGTGATAAAGTTAAATGTACATATAATGTGTGTGTGTGTTCAAAAATTAGTATTTTATGAAAAAAGATTACAAAATACAAGTAGAGACATGCTAGATTATAATGAACTATTTTCTCAATTTATTAAAACTATAAAATAAAATATATATTAAAAATACTAGAATAATAAATTAGTGACCGAGTTAGGGATGGAATAATGATAGAAATACTTTCCAACAGAATTAGCAATGGAATATTTTGTGGGAAAAAATTAACCACAGAATTGATGAAAATATTCCGTCGCTAATTTCCTTGCAAAACAGGAATTGGTTATCCTTGAAGTTAGCCATGGATATTTCCATTGCTTATTTATGTTGCAAATGTTTTAGCGATGGAATTTGCAACAGATTTGCAACAACCAAATTGTGATAGAAATATTCCATCACTAATATAAGCGATGGAATTAGCAATGAATCTGCAACAGATTTGTGATAGAATTTTTTTCTGTTACTAAAACATGGTTTTTTTTTGTAGTGATTAAAAATGGTTACCTTGTGTCTTAAAATATAAGTTCCCCTTTACAACTCCTTTTTCACTACTCTTTTTATCAATACAATCTACACAATTATTTCATAATATTATATATTAATTTCACATTGAAATTAATAAATAACTCTAATTTAAAGGGTTAGAAAATTTTAGGTTTAAGACCCATATTTGTTACTAAATTAAGGTTAGTATCTATTTTAGCCCTTCAAAAAATTATCTCCAAAATTCTCTTGCATTTATAAGCTCTAATTAATCCTCAAATCACTTCCCACATCATCACATAGTTGAAAATTCGTTCAAAAATACCTCCAAAAATCACCAATTGTCCTGAAGTATCAAATCAAGATTCCAACACCTTAAAATATTTATCTATACTTAACTAAACACGCAGACATTAGAAATTTGCCCCCAATGGTTTAGATTCAACCAAATTTTCACCATTTAAGTTTAAGGTTTAACTCAAAATCTTCAAATTTGAATTTCAACCTTAAAGAAATATTCTATAATATTTATTAAAGCCCCAGCAACCTCAACATTTATTTTTAAATCATTATAACTTCTAATTAAATATCCTACATGAAAATTCTAATAAAAAAATTTGCTCTATTCATCAAAATAATGCTAGTCTTAGAAAGCTCTTGTTGAGTGAAAAATATTATGAAAATAACTTAAAAAATGAGAGTCATTTTGAACACTTAAATGAGTAAAGTTAGAACTTTACTTAAAAAAAATGGCAGATGCTGCAAAGAGATGAAGAAGACGATAAAGCGAAAATTAAAAAGGGGAGGGAGATGGGATATAATATTAAAATAGATGTGGGTCCCACAACATTCTCTCTCCCCCTCTCTCTCTTTTGGTGCTTCTTCTTCTTCTTCTTTTCATTTATTTATTTATTTATTTTATTTCATGTAATATTTGTTTATTTTATCCTTAAATCATATTTTAAACTAAGTCAATAAACATTTCTTATATAAACCTTCTAAGCTCAATTTATTCCATATTTAAATGCCTAAACATGTAATTACCTCCAAATAATTGCAAATACAAATTCATTCTTTATTTAAACCTAAAAAAAAAATATAAACTTTGAATTTCAAATCCTCAATAAAATCCAAATTTTATAAGTTATTTATTATATGAAAATCAAGATGTTATATGAATCTGTTGCCAATTAAAAAGAGGAGCATTTATTTTTAAATATTTTTGTTACAGTCTCTGAAAAATTACCTTGATGCCCTTAAAGAAAAGAAAGATTAGATCAGATATATTTTTTAGGGTAAAGGTGCAAATCTAACGACGTGCTATTTTTTTAGAAGTACCTGATAGCCTAAACTATCAGATGGTGTGAAATAAACCACAAACTTTAGAAAATAGAGAATCCAATAGCCTGTCATTAACTTTAGTGGACGAACATTATATGAGGCCCATAATAACATGTGGCATTTTACATCGGCATGTGTAAATGTGCAAATTTAACTACAAACTATTTTTCAAGAAATACTAGATAGCTTCTACTATAAAAAATGAATCATCCAATACCTTTTCATAATTTTCACTAAACATAGTTATTTTTAAACTTATGAGATTCACAAAGTATTAATTTTTTTAATTTTTTTGTTTTCGTTCTCAATTTTAACTTGAGAAGAAGAGGTTGAAAAAGTTTTTACATGAAAATGTTCATGAAGATGGAGACTAGTGAGGGAGAGATATTAGCCGAAACCCTTTGTCCTCCTCCATTGCTATAATAACACAGAAATTTAAATAAATAAATAAAATTGTGGGTAAATAATTTAAGTGTATTTTGTTAGTTTTAGGATAATTTTAAACAAGATGAAAGGGTGGCTTAGTGGAAGTTCTTGTCCACTCCTTTAGGTCCCTTATTTGATCCTTGGCGCTGAAAGATGCAAATTTTTTTTTAAATTCTGTTTTGGCTTGGCAAATTACTAGAATGCCATAAAAAACACAAAACAAAAATATCAAATGTTTTTAGAGAGAGAGAGAGAGAGATCATTAAGTCTTCATCGACATTTGTCTCCCATTCTTCCTTCTCCGCTACTAGTCCTCGCTGCCGGTGACAGTGGGTATGCTGGAATCTTCCTCTCCCATCATCCTTATCAAGTGCTTTTCCTTGGTTCTGCGTCGGCCTCTCTTCCTTCTTGGCATTGTCACAGTTGTGGGCTATGGGATGTCCGTTGCTGCCATGGAAGTTCAATCATGTGGTCTTCTCCATATTCCTTCCATTGATTAGTCGTTGGTCCTTTCTTCTTCCTTCCCTTTTGTTGTTGTGATCGAAAACTTCTCCCTCATCTCATTTCTTCTGGGTAATACTGTCTTGGGTGAGTAAGGAAGAGCTTCAAATCCTTCCTCCATGTCTCCTTTACTATTTGGTAAGCTAAAATCTCATCCTTTCCCTTCCTAACAATGGTTACGTGGATGTGCATATTGTGTGGGTAGTAATAGATTATAATTCTCCCTCTTTGTCTCGTTATTGTGTGAGTGACAGAGTAGATAGGATTTATTAAAGCTGAAATTCAACTTTACAGTGCGCGCTCGCACACAGAGAGTGGCAATTTAACTTATGTATAATAGAAAGAGGCAATTTAACTTATCTATTTGTTACCGTAAGGAAAGGAATTGAAAGTTGCTCTCTTTGGGTTTAAGTTTTTTTTTTTTTTTTTAATGGGGAGTTTGATTTGTACAATATGATATTGATGTTGGAATTGTTGGGGTAAGAGAATGAAGGTTAAGAAGTTTAATTTATTGATTTGGAATTTTATGCGTGTTAGGTGCTTGTAAAAAGTCTATTAACATTTTATTATATTTGATAGAGACTTTGGAAGGAGAGAAAACTTGATTAAAGTTATAAGAAAGGAATTTTAGAACTTGGTGGCATACTAGGTAAGCAAATAACATTCCTGAATAAATAGAAATAATGATCTTTCTTTTACTTCTGAAACATATCTTTTTAATTGTATATAATGATTAAGCTTATTTATATGTAATTAGCTTATTTATTATTTAACTTTAGTCATGCAAGTAGGCATTCTCATGGTATTTTTTTGAAAAAATCATACATGCAAGCATTAGATAAATTACTGATGAAAAAATTGTCTATATTTTACAAATTAAAGGACAATTTGAACTATAAGGACGTTTAGACTCTATGCATGCCAAAAATGTTTTATGGAACTAAAAATAGAACGTTGGTTGGTAATGATAGTTTCGTTGACATACTTAGTTAGCAAGGTATATTAGAAGTACTAGCCCCGTATGTTGACCAACACACTTGGAAAGGAGGATGTAATTTTATGGATACAATCCACGCTTGTTATTCATGAATTTTATGCTTGCGCCTGTTTTTCATGGCTTTTAGTCATGCACAATGTATTTACCCTCATGGATTGTGTGTCCACACTTGTTATTCATGTTATTTAGGTCCTAACAGAAAATAAGTTTTTCAAGTTGTAATTTTGCTCTTGAAAATTGTATTTTTATGATTTGTTTTATATAAAAGACATATTCCCAATTTGTTGATTATTATTCTTTATTTTCTCTTTTCTATTTTTTAACTCAATTATCAAAGATAAATTGTACAGTTATTTTCTAATACTATCAATAATTAGATTAGTTTCTTTTTTTCTATTGTATATGTTTATAATTATCATTTTTATTTATTAGTATTATTTGAGAATGTTATTTACTGGAAGAATTTTTAGTACTCAGATAGTAGAAATGGAGGACTTGCTCTTTAGTTGACCTCGTGGAACTCCTTGAAATAAGAAGTATTTTGTTGCTCCAATTGCGTTGTGAATTAATGAAAATATTTAAGTATTTTATTTTGTTATAGAGTCACTCCAAGAATCATATAGGCATGACTCTTGCTTAAGTATTTTGGTTTGTACATATATTGTAGCAAAAAAGAACTCTGGATGTTACTTGGATGTTCTTTTTGGCAGGTTGTAAAGATTTCGGAAAGTCCAACTTACAATAGAGGCTTTGCTAAAATTTTTACAGCAAGTTTAAATATTTTGTTCCTATTAACGATTGCTTATTATAAATGATGATTGTATGATAAAATTGTAATGAATACGTTAGATATGTTAAGAGTTTAGGCATATAGAATATGAGTTTTTTGGCATTCTAGCCAATCACACTTCAAAAGTTGAGGGTGTGACAATTGCTCTCTAGTCATCCTCCACCATCGTGTTCGTCATCGAGGAGTGTGAGTATGCTAGAATCTTCCCCTTCTTCTGTCCATGTTGCAACTTGAAGGAGGGAGGGAGGGAGCTCAACTTCTTCCTTTCTTCATTCTTTTAGGTTCGTTTCATTAGCTACCAGTGATTATGGTGCTGTTATCATTGCTTATAGAGGCAAAGCTCGTGATTTTTCCTTATATAGTTTCCCCTGCTTTACGCTGTCAGTTATGGTTAGCGTTGTCTTCCATTTTGTTCTGCGCCGATGCTGTTCTATGTTGGAGGTTTTGAATCCTTCCATCCATTACCTCCTTTGCTTATTGCTGAGTTCAAGCTTCATCATCTCTCCCTTGCATCTTGTGTGTGAGTTTTGCGACTTGGATAACTGGTTGGTTGATGCTAGAGGAAAATAGATGTGGATTTGAATTTTTTCTTCGGCTTAAATTGTTTGTTGATGGGGAGTTGGGTTTGTGTAGCATGATAACTTTAAATATTGATATTTGGAGATTGTTGAGCAAGAGATTTGAAGTTTGAGAATTTTGATTGAAGGTTTGGAATTGACCATCGAAGAGGAATTTGATTGGAATATTAAAGAGTTGTTATGTAGTTTGTTTAATCTCTGTGTTGAGGTTCAGATAGATATAAACATTACTTGAATATACATATGAATTTTTATATTTGAGAGGGACAGTGAAATGGCTACAAGGAAGGGATGCACTCCGTCCCAGCTAGCGTTGGTCTAGGTTCATCAGCAGGGAAATGATGTGTGCCCTGTACCAAGAACCACCAACATTGAGAGCTTGAACCAAAACATTAAAGTATCATTTTTACTATTGGTTTGAAATTACTATTTTTGACAGACCACCAGTGGACTGGACTGTAGAAGCTTTTTGGCTTTTGATATGACCTAATTTTTTGATTTTGGTCTTCTTACATAATTTTATCATGGCCTTGTATTAAAAAAATGTTGATGTCATGAACTTACAGGAGAATAGAATTATATGGCTAGAGCCTTTCTTCTATACTGCCCTTGCTTGTCTTACTAATTTATAAGTTCCATCTCATATGTAAGGGTAAAAAGGACTAGAACTTAAAGAATCCTTGTATACTTTTTCTTTTCTGTGTTTGATGGGCTGCATGTTTTCAAATTCATTCTCTACATATTGGCTCATTCCTATGTACCATTTTTGTTGCTGACCAGGTTATTTTTTTCCACAAGGGTGGAGGTGGGAATTTGACGAGCACTAGTGTCATGTTTGTATAGAAAAAAAGTTCTTATGATATCAAGTTTACCACTTGAAAAAAATTATAATTTAAAGCAGATAATTTGCTTGACTCCATTACAAGTTTCCAGTACACAAATTAAATTCTATAAACCTCTACTCGGTGTGTACGTGTATAATGTGTGGTGGAAAGCTTTGGATCCTAAAAAGAATTTTTTGTTTGATGGATTGTTATTTGATACACACACTATTATTGGTTACATAAGAGGTAATAACTTTCTATAATGGAAATTGGAAATCAAATTAGATAATTTTGGAAAAGACATTTAGTTGATAATTCAACAATGAAGATTGTTTGTTTTTATGAAAACTTCTGGGACATATTTATAAAGTAATTGATGAAAGGTTTGAAAAATGAAGTTAAGGGAATTGGATAAACATGATGATAATGTTGTATAATCATAAAAGAAGTTACTTATTTGATTTTTAAGGTTTATGACGGTCAATAAGATCTTGTGTGTTCCATGCTATTTTTCCAAAATATGGTTGATTTAGTTTCTTGTTTGAGTATTAGCATTTGAGTTGTTAGAAATCTAAACATGCTTCATAGGTTAGCGGAGAAACACTGGATACCATGTTGATAATTATATGTCATAGCTCGAACCCAAATTTAAAGCTTTCAAGGTTGTTAATTATTAATTCGGTTGAACTATTCTTGTAGTCCTCAAATTTCACTTGATTCTGATGTTGGTCTCATTTAAAGTTTGTAATTTATTTTCTATAATGTTAGGAAAATCTTGATTTTATTTTAAATTGAGTAGTGATTAAGCATGTACTACTAAATTTATCAGAATAGCGTAGCGAAAGTTTGGAGGAGTGCTATTGAACTCTATAGGTTCAGAGAGCAATAGAATGTTGTTTTGTTGTTTTTAATTGCCAGGCATGCATTATTTTGTTCTCTTGGATTAGAGAATCCTAATGAAATGCTTAAGAAAAGAATTGTATAGAATTAAGTATTATGTATTCTCCTTATTGGTTTATAAGTGTTGGATATGTTACTAAAGTTTCACTAGAGTCATTCATATTTGGTTAGGTATTCATTATCTTGAATTTCTTTGGTTTAATTATGTGCTGAATGGACTTTGAGAATATCAAATGATGTTGTAACATGACTGTGTTGTTTCCAAGTCATTGATTTGCTCTTTAGTAGAAAGATAGCTATCTTTTGGCTCCTAGTATGTCTGAATATTAATTCATATTGTGGTATTGTGTGAAATTTCGGTTTATTGGGAAGTTTATTACAAAACTCTTTCTGAACTGAAAGCATTGCTTGTAGCATACATCTATCTTAGGTTGATTTTGACAAATTGAACTTTGAAATGGGTTAACAGAATATTTTTACATAAGTGAGGATTGGCTTTGGTATGACTTATAAACTATGTTGATGTAGATTTACTTGCAAATTATGAAATTTCCATCTTAAAAGGGCCTCTTCGTACTAAAAGAAATTTTAGCAAGTATTTGGATATAGATTTTAAAGTGAGATTTAGCAAGTATTTGATGAATATTTGAAATTCATATTTTTGCAAGTATTTTTATAGTGATGAGAATTTTTTTATTTCTAAAAGAAAGTTTCTACAAGCATATTAGAGTCTATGGAAGAAAGTATGGAAAAATGACTTGGATATTTTTGGATCCTTTTACAAAAATTTTTATATATTAAAGAGTTGATTTTCTGATATGCTCGTGAATATTTATAGAGGAATCAAACATAGTGTTCTTGTTATTTGTAACCTTCAAGTTGTGCCTGATATTCATGGCCTTTGATATGTGCTAAATTCATTACTTACCCTTGAAGACTGTGTGTTTATGCATATGTCTCGTGTTCTACGAGCCATGCCTGATTGGTAATTTACCCACATAGATTATGTGTCCATACTAGAAATTTTATGTTGTGTGAATTCCTATAAAGAACTTGTTTAAAATTTTTTTTTTCTTCTCTAAATTTTCATATTTGAAAATAAATTTTTATTATTAATTTTTGGATAAGTTGATTCCAAGATTTCTATTACAAAGTTTATTTCATTACTATAATGAGTTTGAAAGTATGTTTCATATACTTGTTGATAATATTATTTTTTTCATCTTATATTGTGAGTATTGTGTCAGTAAACATTTATTCATGTCCATGTTTATATATTTAAAGTATTATTTTATATATTTGAAGTATTATTTTATGGTCTTGAAGAAATAACATGATTTAGAATATGTGTGTGTGTGTGTGCGCACGCACGACTTGTGCACATGTTGACTTATCATGTTTATATTGATTTGTTTGTATTTCAAATAATAGAAGCCACCACCTCCTTCATTTACATTATAAAGTGGGTTCTTATGTTGAAAAATTGTAAAGTTGAACTTATGTTGAATTTGAATTATTATTTTATGATATTTGATAATTGTTCCAAACTTAGGCAAGATATTTACCTCTTTGTTTTTATTAATTATAAGTTAAGGAAGCAATTCTCGTATTTTGTTTGAATTGATTGTTTAATTGTTTTAAATATATTCTTTTAAAGATTTATTGAACTTTACCAAAAGTCATAAGTATTATAATATTATTTTATTTTATACCATTGAAGTATATAATTTCTTCTAAATATAGTTACGAACATGTGTTTTGATTTGGTTTATGAAATAATATTAATCTTATATTTTGTGTCGGTCACATTCGGTGTTTTGGGATGTGATAAGAAGAGAGAGAGATCACGAGAGGTGAGAGAGATATATAGATAATAAAAATAAAAATAATGAATGAAAATTTTTTATTAAGGAATGAAAATTTTTTATTAAAATAGGATGAAATAATTATATTATGCCTCTCCGTTCAAAAAAAAACATTATTCTGTGATTGAGGGCCATAGTTCCATCCCTCCTTAAAAAGATAATGGTCTAGACTTTTAGCCCCCTCCACTCCGTTTCATTCTTCTCTAGAAAAAATCTTCCAACTTACGGAGCTTCCCCTCCTCGTGTGTGTGTGTCTATATACAAAAAATCGGCGCTTCCTTCCGTCAGTGACTTCATGTTCTCTTCCTTACTTCTGAGAGCATAGCACGGCGTCTCCTTCGTTCTTCCCTCCTGATCACGGCGTTCTGTTCGAAATTTCTGAGTTCTTGGTGCAGAGCCTGGTGTTCACTTCAAAACTTCCGATCAAGGTTTGTGTTGCCCGTTTACGCTTGCCGTTCAGATCAAGTTTTAGCGCTGTTGTCCACGTTGGTCTTTGCTTCTCTGGCATTGCTTTCTGTTTCTTTCATGATGCTGTGAGGTTTGATGTACTCCTTCTTGCTCCTTCATGTTCGTTACCTTTCTTCTTCTGATTTGAATTTTGCTGAGATTTGGGTTGAATGGTTGATTATTGAATCTCCAGACCCCACAGTGTTGAATGTCGTATACTTGAATGATTGAACGATTGAAGCTGTGAACGTTTGATCCTGAAGTTAGTTAGACTTCAAATTTTGTCGGACAAAACATTGAAATGTTTAGCTCTGCTCTGCCTGCTGATGGAGCCACGGGTCCATCCCTGTGTAAATCCTTGTTCAAATAATTTAGCTTCTAAGTGACCTGTGATTAAATGTCATTTAAATCCTTCTTTATAATTATTTGATAATTATTTTTCTCTGTCGAATTTTAATTTCTATGAATTCTTGCACTTTGGTTGATTTATGTGTTGCTCTTAAATTTATTAATGTTTATGATTTTCATTTTTCTTTTGTTGATATGAACAACAAAAATATTCTCTTCAGTTTGTGGCATTTAAGTTTTAACTATGATAAATCTTAGTATGTTTTGGTTCCTGTTTGCCTTTCAGTATTTGAACCCTTGTACTTTGTACTTATTTACATCATTCTTTGGTAGCAAAAAAGAAAAAAAGAAAAAGCAAGGGATTCAAATTAGAAGATGTGTTCACGCTTCTCATGCTAGAGTTAATTGAGAATTTTTAAATTTAGTTATTTGATTTATAAGTTATAGATATTGCTTGTGTTAGGATTTTCCATTAGGTGGACGGAAAGACCAGGTGTGAGAAAATAAGAGTAAAATTCCTCTTTCAGTGATTTAAGATCTACAATGCAATTGTAGAATTATCTCTAAATCTGATGCTTTTCAGGTTTTTTCCCACACAGCTGAGGAGTGGCATTGATGTATAAGGTCAGTGAGGCCACCGTTTGCAGGCTAACATATCATCCACCCTGGAGTATGTGCCTTCTTCTGATGCTTAGAGTAGCTTGCATCATCATATATATGTCTCAATCAGTGGTTAAGGTTGCATTTTTTAAATTTGCACAGTCATGTCGTCAATGGAAGAAGGTTCCAACTTCCCATCTAAACAGAAGTTTTCCTGCGTCAAATGCTTGGAAGAAGGTTCCAACTCAACACCTAAACTGAAGTTATCCTAAGCCAAGTGCTTTGATGCTCTCTGGTTTTGCTACTATAATACCCAATCCAAAGACCGTAAAATATGTATGCCTTATTCTTTATTTTAAGATTCTATGTCTATTAAAACATTTGATATTATTTCTGCAGCCCCAATCCATCAGATGCGGCAATATTACAGACTTAGTGTGCTTGATAACTGTCATGAGAACTGGAGTGCTCTGACTGTTTGATGTTTAAGACTAAATGTGCTTTTGAGATTCAGGTTAGTTTTTCTTTTCCTCTTGTTAGCTGTTGATAAGTTTACTACCATACAGACTTAATTTGAGAAGAAAATGAACTTATAATCATGGTGAAATGGTAATGTTTCCTTTAGAACCAATAATGCAGCAGGCCCTGGAGTTAATATGTTGAAAGCACAATGCATTGTGTTGAACTTGATCTTTACTTGCTCTACATATGACCTGGAGTGGACCCTCTACATATCTGGGGTATGTGCGCATCTCTTTTGGATTGTTTAGATTTGATATGGGAGAAGTACATTTTTTTCTGTTCTTTTCCCCCTTAATTTTGATGTCATTTATTTCCTTGAAGAGAGGAGAATGGAATAGGATATGTGCATAATTGCTTTTAAGTCCTTTGCCCAGTGTATTATATAGTATGTTCTAATGGCCTGAAAACATCATTTTATGTGAAGATTGACTGTTCTCCGTCCATTCATGTCATGACATCATAATAGGAGAAGAGAACTAGAAATAGAATGTAAGAACCTCAAGTTAGTGGTGGATCTTACTTGGATGTTAGATTTTTAGGGCTTGTTTGGTATGTTAACAAAATAATACAACAAATAAAAATATAAATAAAATAAATTTATTTATAGATGGAAAAACGCTTTACTTCCTATGGGTTTGGGGTCTCAGGTTTTGGGATTTTGTGGTTTCGGATTCGGGGGTTGGGAGTGTCAAGGTCTCGGTTCTTAGTTCTCCATCCAATAAAATTGTACTAGTTCAATCAAATAAAATATAATGTATTATTATTTTTAATGATTTTATCTTTAGAGTAGAATGCCTCTTTAATTTATTACCTTCTATCCCCCGCCATCGTTAATGACAGAATTAATTTATATTTACAACTATCTTAATGACATGTTTTTATTAGATGGTGCATGGATGATGTGATGCTGTGGGTCTGTGCAAGAATTTCTCAGCTTAGTGAGCCATAGTAAGCTGTAGCTGTTATGCACTTATGCTCACGGTATTTTTTGAAGTTTACATACTTTTTTTAGATACATAATTTGGATATAAAAAATTGTGAAATTCTTTTTTTTTTATATTTGTAAAATTTATAATAAAAACTACATGGTCAAATTCTTAAACAAATTTTGACTCCATGAAATCAAAAGGCCAGAAAAGGGATTGTTTTCCCTTGTTCCCTCCCTGTCATGTCAACGGCGCTAACATTTGAAACTTCTTGAAATGGTATGTCTCAGAAAGGTTCCTTCTTGTCTTCCCTGCTTCGAAGCTGCCTCCCTCACTTTTCTGTCTGGCAAGCCAAGCAATGCCATGCTCAGATCTTTCTCCAAGGCTTGCTTCCCAACGTCACTCTTGAAACGGATCTCTTGTTAGTATACTCTAGATACAGGTTTCTCCACCATGCACGCCAAGTTTTTGATGGAATGCTCCACAAAAACATGCATTCTTGGAACATCATTATCGCTTCATATGCTGCGAATATGCTGTATTCTGATGCTATAGCAGTTTTCTATAAATTTCAGCGGACAGGTCTTCGTCCTGATCATTTTACTTTGCCTCCCTTGTTTAAGGCTTCTACTGGAGTAGGAGATACTTCCCTTGGTAAGAAATGTCATGCTTTGGTTATAAAGCTTGGGTACGAGGAATATGTGGTTGTCGGAAGTTGTGTGCTGGAATCTTATGCCAAATCCGGGGCCATGAGTGAGGCAAGGTGTGTGTTCTCTAATATGTCGTTAAAGGACTCTGTAGTGTGGAATTTGATGATTTCAGGATTTGCAAGGACTGGTTTGCATGTGGATGCTCTGAGTTGTTTAAGGGAAATGATTTTGAACGAAGTTAAGATTGAGTCAATGGTTGTTCCTAGCGTTTTGAATGCTTGCGGAAGGGAAGGGGACTTAATAAAAGGGAAAGAGGTGCACGGTCACATAGTTAAAGGCATGTTTAATGTGGATGCTGCCATTGGCAATGCATTAATTGATATGTATGGCAAGTGTGGATGCCTGAATTATTCAGAAAAGGTTTTCAAAACCATGACTGATGTTAATCTGGTCACTTGGACTGCCATGATATCTTCTTATGGGATGCATGGAAAGGGAGAGGAATCTTTGTTTCTGTTTAAGAAGATGATAGATATTGGGTTTACACCAAACCAAGTTACACTTACAGCAATCTTAGCTAGTTGTAGCCATTCAGGTTTGGTCGATCAGGGTATGCAAATTTTCAACTCGGTTCATTCAGAATACAGATTTGAGCCAAGCGTAGAGCACTATGCTTGCATAGTGGATCTTTTGGGTCGCTGTGGATATTTGGTGGAAGCACTTCAGATATTGGAAAGTATGAAATCATCTGCCACAGCAAGCATTTGGGGTGCCTTGCTTGCCGGTTGCATGATGCACAAGAATGTTAAAATTGGAAAAATTGCAGCTCGTCATCTTTTCCAAATAGAACCAAATAATGCCAGCAACTATATTGCACTGTGTAGCATATATGAATCTCACGGTATGCTTGAAGCCGTTTCAAGTGTTAGAGCGAAGTTGAGGAACTTCAATTTAGTTAAAGCTCCTGGTTGTAGCTGGATAAACATTGCTGGGAGATGTCATAAATTCTACCAAGGGGAGCTTTCTCATTCACTGGCGCAGATGATTCATGAAATATTGCTTCAAATTAGTAACCCTGAAATGACCGATGACTGTGATCAGTTTGATTGACGCTTGGTCTGGTCATAGTCAAATATTCTTCATCTGTTCATTTGGTTTAGTTTTCACTCAGCTGTTTTGAGAAGAATAAAGATCAGCCGAAGACATAGTCAACAAAAAGTTTATAGCAGTTGAGTAGTGACGTGGGAGTGGTGATGGTGGTAGTGCTCATAAACTGGCCCTGAACAGCCTTGCCAAAATGAAGTTAAGAGTACCTTCCTATGTCCTTTTTCCTTGAATGGATGGAAGAAAAAATTTCAATATGAAAGTTTTCAAGTTGATGTGATTAAAGGGATGCTAACCATGAAATCCAGGTTTCACGTTGTTCAGTTTTTCAGTTATTCAAGGCTTATATTTATATATTCAGATGAATGCTTGTATTATTTCTCTATTGTCGCGAGGTTAGAATTGAGATAAATAGTTAATTTCATGTGATGACTGATGAGCAGTATCTCCTTATTGATTATTTCATACTGACATTCCTCTTCTCTTTTCAGTGTGCTATCGAGAACAAAGCCATGGATGATAATTTACGTCTGAATCTTACATGTACTACCTTTCCATTATCTCTTTATTTGGTGGGGGAGGGGGGGGGGAGTGAGAAAATTTTATGCCTCCCCTTTTATGGATACCTTGTTTGTCAGTATTATAGTACATGGGAGTGGGGGGAAAATTCATTAAAATTATGACACATGAATGGCGGTGCATGGTATTGAGGCAGTTGTCCTTTTGCAATTGGGTTCAAACCCTCTTTTGGACCCAATTTAAGTCATAATCACAAGCTTAATTAATTTATTAACCTCCATCAACCTCAATTCAACATAATTCCTGTTAAATTTCTAAATGAAAAACTAGAATGTTACAATTTTTAGAATAACTTTTCTTTTGTTATTTCACATTATATAAGACAAATGAGGTATATATTGATAATTCAATATATCCAGAGGATATATTAGAAGATTATGTATGATAAAAATGCATCATGCATAGTTTGGTTGAATGAAGGACTAGCTTAAGAAAGTAATAGCAACAATCACATTTTTGAAATTAGTATTTTCTATTGAGGTACAATAATAATAGGTGGTGATATTATTTGGAAGAGTTAAACTGATATTGTTATCAAGAGAAGCAAAGTTGATGATATATACCTTTTTTTCTCGACCAAGGTTTTATCCTAGTGGGTTTTCCTAATAAGATTTTTTAATGAGGCAACTTTAATATATATTATGTATTTTTTTTCATTAAGTTTTTGTCCTATTGAATCTTTTTCTAGTAAGGTTTTAATAAGCCGCATTATTGTCTATGAATTTTCAAGAGCAAGTGTTATAAATATTATGTTGAGTAGTCCATGACTTCATAGCTCTTAGAATTCCATCCCATGATTAATGTCATAATACCTTATAGCTCTTAAATGGGTGGTTTTCTAATATTTATTTCTATAACTTCCAATGGTTTCATGTTGTATTATATTGTAGAATAATTCTTGTATTTATGAAATTGTAACTCTTATAGGGCCTGAAGCTTATAAATAGAGATTATGTACCACACATTTCAGATACCTTTAAGTGAATGAAAATTACCCCTCCATTCTCTCCAATTCTCTTATATCTTATTCATGCATTTTTCTCATCTCATCTTAGTCTCTTATATTCTTCATATCAACCTTATTATACAAATGTTGTAAAACTCATCCCATTGGCCACATTTTGCTGTTCCCTCATTGGGCACCTTGTAATTTCCTAAAGTTAATTTCTTTTGCCTCCTTGGCCGGATTCATTTACTATAAGGTCATGTTTGAATAAAATGTATCACTTCTCTCTTTCACTATACAATCATTCTCATTGGTCTGGTGTTTTTTTTTTTTTTTAAACTTTTCAAAAACCCTACTCGTCCATTCGGCTTCACGCTTTCTCCCAAATGTCCATTCTCTGCTATAGCGCGTCTTCCCAATGTCTATTATCATGGCTACTCCTTCCGTTTCCATTTCCCCTCTTCAACTCATCCGGTTCTGTATCATGCATTTTTTCGAGGTGATTCAAAATTCAAAATTTTGACAATTTTTTTCCTCCTCTGCGCCTTCATCTATGATTCTCTACATACTTCTCATTTAACGGCATTCTTTCATTACAAATCGCTCTCCTTGCAATCTCTCTCTCACCTCTCGCCTCTCGCCTCTCGCCTCTCGCATCTTGCATCCATCACTTTGACTTGCACTGCTAGCGAGAGTCGTTGCTGGTCTCTTGCTACCCTTAGGTGATCGGCGACATGTTCAATCATCCTATAGTTATTGCATTCCTCTCATCGACTTTCGAGATATCCATGGTACTAATCGCTTTCTCACCACCTGAATTTCTAAACCGTTTCATCTCTAAATTGTTTCTCTGTTTTCTCTTTCATTTTCTTATTTTTAAGATACGCGCATTGATCAGATTTATTTAGAAAAGAATTACACTTTAAACCTCAAAAGTTTGTTAAAAGTTAATAGTAGGAATAAAATTATTTCAACTTTAATTGTTTCGGTTTCAAAATACATTTTTTTAAAATTTAAAATTCAAATCACCTTTGGATTTATAATTTAAGGTCCAAATTGATAGTTAATCTTTTTGTATTTTAAAAAATGCACTCTAATAAATAATAATTCAACAGTAATTTAAAAAAGTATATTTTGCATATTATATTAATTTTTAAAAAGATTTTAAAGAAGTGTGTAAGTTTTTTAGTTTAAATTGATTGATGAAGGTGAAAATTTATAAAACAAAATCAAATGCTTTTATGATAAATAAAGAAATAGAGAAAAAAGTATATAAAGAGGAATCTATTCTATATTTTTTCCTAACAAAGAATAATAATATTTTTTCACCAATATTATTATGAGATTCCATTACACCAAAGAACAAAGAGGAAAAAAAAATATGAAAGTGTGTTTATAGCAAAAGATTATGTTACGCTCTTATTACTATCACTAATTGCTATCAAAATCCCACCCAACAAGAACAAAAATATTTAACTTGACACCATCTCATCCATACCCACCATAATCTTCACCAAAAACTTCTTTACTTATTATTACAATTTACAATCTTCTTTTATATAGTTTCATCATCATAATCATCATCGTCATCATCATCTACCTTTTTTAATTCCTTATTCTCATATCCTAGAAAATTTGTAACATTATCATGGGTTAATATACAATTTAAACTTTGAACTATGGGTTTAGGGATGATTTGAATCTTAAACTTTTAAAAAAATGCATTCTAAACCCTAAACAATTAAAGTTGGGACAATTTGACCCCTACCATTAACTTTCAACAAATATCCCTCAAATTGGGGCACTTTAAATCCTAATTTGACGGACATTTGTTGAAAGTTAATAATAGGGGCAAAATTACACTAATTTTAGTTGTTTAGGGTTTAGAGTGTATCTTTTTAAAGTTTAGGATTCAAATCAACCCTGGGGTTATAATTCAAGGTTGAAATTGATATTTAACCCAAAAAAATCTCACAACGCTTGAAAGGATATATCTGTCATTTTACTTTTTGACCCAATGTTCCTGTCGTTCATCTTATTTTGTGGTCTTGCTTCTATCATAAACCTAAATGAATAATCGATTGAGAGAAGCTGGCAACCCAGAGCTTATAACAAAATGTGGTTCAAGCCAAAATAATCAATTAGCAACAATTTGTGGTGTTTGGGCATTTTCATTGAAACCATGGTTTTCCCCCCAAAAAAAATCAATTAATTTTGCAATCCAAACGGGCAGCTTATCAGCATAAATAGAGGTCATATACCACACACTTGAGATACCTTATCAGCCTCACATTTCCACCGAGTTTTCCTCATCACCAATTGAAAACTTGAGGGCAGTGTCTGTGTTTGTTTTCCCCGCCTTTCATCTTCTATCAACGTCCAGAGAGAACAAACCCTACACGCATATCCATTATATTTCCTCTTACTTGTATATACAAAGAAAATGAAGTTTTCTATCAATGGCCTTAATAAAAATCTCCATAGCCTGCTTTTTTATATTCTTGGTGATTACAACGGCCATTATTGTTGGAGACCGTGAGGCTGGATCTGACTGTGCACCACAATGTATGCCTGTTTGCATGAAAGCGAAGGATGCCACAATAACTGTCTGTGAGTCAGCATGTGAAGCCTATTGCGCACAAATTTCTCAGAAACTTGGGTCTTTTGGTTAGTCACATCACCAATTAACATGCATGGATGCAATGGAAAGAGAGGAATAGAGTTGATAGAATAGATTTTATAAGCACGAATTTTCCAGAACCTGATCCTCTCAGCGTCGAAATCTTGTGCGCTAAAATAATCAAAATACCCTCAATGTACACATCACAAGGCTTTTAAAAATGCATTTAAATAGTTTGTTTTTAAATAATGAAAAAAGTGCATTTTGAAACATCATGTAGGGGTGAAAATATACTACACAAACCTGGTCTATTTATAGAAAGATCTAATTATAAGCTTAAGCATGGCTTTTTTGTTAAACAGGTTAGGTCAAGTCAGAATTTATATAAATAAATAGGCTAGGCCTATTTATCCAAAATTTGGCATAGATTGACCTATTTCTACCCCTAAATAATCTTTCAAAATATTTTTTTTTCCAATTTAGAAACAAACTATTTACATGCATTTTTAAAAGCCATGTAATGCTGCATGGTATTTTTATCATTTCAATGCACAAAATTTGGCCGCTGAGGGATGCTGAGAAACTTAGATGCTAAGAGGATCTAGTTCCTAAATTTTCCTGCCTAGTTGTGGAAGCATATTTTCCAAGACGATAAGTGAGAGTTGAATTTTTCATAGATAGGTAGGGATGAAAGTAAGCTTACAATAATGCGTCATGTGTAGCAGAAAAATGCCAATATATTTGTCAAGGTTTTTCGTGAGTGGATTTCTAAATTCATTACTAATTTTGAACCATTTTGTTAATAATGTGGACATTTCTGAAACAAAATATTTTTTGGTCAGAAGCCATGCATGCAAAAATCTTATTGATTATCGTAACTTGGCTCAGGGGCATGCCTACAAAAAAATATGCGACAGATAATTGATTATAATTTTGAAAGGGGAGAGTATTTCTTATTGCATTCAAAGATAATGCAAAATTCGCTTTATTAGGAAAGTCCTATATTAATTTCAGTACAAGTCTTACTCCTAAAAAACAGTACCAAAACATCTTATTGTTTGGGCTAAAATATAAAATATCACTCAAATAGGTCATAAGACAAGTTGAGTTGAGTAACTGAAGCGTCAAGCCCAATATAAACAAGAGGGCCGGTCTCGAAACTCGATAAAGGCCATAGTAAATAAACATGCTGAAATTTTGTTAGCTACAAACATTGGACTATTGGCATGAAAAAATATGATATCAAGTAATGCCAAAATCTACAGACTTCACGTCCAAGTATTTCGATGAAACGAGCTGATTTTTAAAATGGAGAGTATGGAATAAAGACCATGCCATGAGTTTCACAAGATTCTTGATTCTTTGGTAGAACGTGCTAGGTCTTAAGAGAGAGGCTGCCACCACTCTAACACTAT